GCATCATTTTTGCGCTTGTCGCGCTTGAATCGCCAACTAAAAAAAAAGTCGTGCGACACATTGATTTGTATGAGAATACTGCAAGATAACCAGAGGTCATAATTATTTATTGTCATTGATAATACGCAATTAATTAACACTTTGTTTTACATTGTCGACTAATAAAAATTATGAAACAATAACAAAATTAGGGTTAACAGAGTTTTAAATGGTCGAATTTATTGGCATATGTGTTTCGGGAATTCAGGTAATAAAATAATCTTATTAACATACATGTTTAATCAACACATTGATTTACATTATAAAATAAAAAGTACAATTTATTTAAAAATTGTTATCTACATCTACATGTTTATCTACAAAAGATATTCAATGTGTCCACCATTAACTTCAGTGCACTTTTCCATACGACGATGTAATGAAACCCWAGTTTTTTCCAACAAATTTGGTGTTTGACGAATGATATCAGCTACATTATTGATTCTCATCAAGAGTTCATTTCTATTATTCACCACTTTGGCATAAACTTGTTCCTTCATAAAACCCCATAAGAAAAAATCACATGGATTAAAATCAGGACTGCAAGTTGGCCATATTATGTTTGGATATTGATATTACGATATTGAGCGTTGTTTTCAGCTTCTCTACCAATAATTTTGTCAGGGAAAAGATAGTGCGATTGATGTCGGTCTGCAATTTTATGATGTGGAGGTCTCACGTTACCTGAAAAAGACAACATTTTTTAATATTGTGTAAATGTAGAATGTACTTATTTAAAATGTCATATTTGTTTAGAATTCTTACTAGTTTCACTCAGACAACGATAAGTTGTTAAAAAAGTATTTGGTCGAGGTACTCTACGCTGAGGAAATCGTTCTGCCCATCACTTAGCTGCAAGATTTACATTTCCATCAGCTAAACCTAGTCACAATTATTAATAAACAAATAAATAGTTTGTTTCGTATTACATGTCGCATACGACAACTTAAAATAGTTRCATGGGTATGTTTTGTGATAAAGTAAAATACCTAGAGTTTTTAATAAAATAAATCACCAATGGGTGATATTAGTTAAATTCTTAAACTAATTAATTAAATGAATTAGTACTACCCAACATAAAAACCATGTCTGCATATTCAATGCTTGTGTACACCATTGCGCAAAAATCAAAATTTTAATTAAAAACTTTAAATCTTATAAATAAATCTTAWAATTTTAAATGTCGTTCAATGACGTCAAGTATTGGACTGAGCTCTAATCAGACCAACTTATGTTCATCATGTACTCTGTAAGGAGTATGGTCAATTCAATATTAACGATAAAAGTATAATATTAGGTTCACTAATAAATAATAATAATAGTATAAAATAAAATGTTTATCTTATCGAGTCAAAATAATTATGTTAGTTACTGTGATATCCAAAAACTGGAATTTCAGTATTAACACACAAATAGGTAGTTTCTTTTATCTCTAACTATTATAACTTTACAAAGTTAAAAGTTATTTAATAAAGGTATTACATAAATGTATGATAATAAATTTGATCGTTTAAAACTCTGTTAAACCTAATTTTGTTATTGTTTCATAATTTKTATTAGTCGACAATGTAAAACAAAGTGTTAATTAATTGCGTATTATCAATGACAATAAATAATTATGACCTCTGGTTATCTTGAAGTATTCTCATACAAATCGAAGTGTCACACGAMTTTTTTTTAGTTGGCGATTCGAGCGCGAAAAACGCGCAACAAGCGCAAAAATGATGCGATATCTCGATTTGTAAGAGAATTTTGCAAAAAAATACGACTAGAGTGTTCATTTTTACATTCAAGATAAAAATCTAAAAATAACATCACAGAAATTTTTTTCAGAATACTAAACTTAACACAAATGGTAGTTTTTGAACTTTAATTTTACTTCCATACTTGTTGATATTATATGATATTTCATGTAAGATTGAGTAACAAGAAAAAAAAACTTATTAAGAATTAAAGACATAATTTTATAGAACAACCATCGTTAATATATTTTTATTATAGTGGGACAGTTTTGCAATCATTAAACTTGTGCCCTTGATTCATATGTTTTATGTATAGTTGGTACAAACATAAAATGTATTGTTCATTTTTCAAAACATATTGTAGTTTAGTGTTTTATTTATAATTGCGTTATTTCATTGTTTCGGTTATATGCATCTTCATTCCATTACTATTCGATAGACTGTAAGTAGGTATTGTAAAAATAATATTATATTATTGTACTCCCAAACTATTTCAAAACAACAATACAATTGAAATATTATGGCAAATTTTTTTGTCGAAAATGATAATAATACAAAACTTTTATTGTAGATATATTACAAKTAATGAATGTATACGAAATCATAATATTATTAAACAAAAAAAAATACAGTAGGGTACCTAAATAATAAATATTATACAATAAAGGATGAATTATTTACAGAAATAAAATAAAAAATGTAAATCTGGCCTATCTGGATTAGCTACTTGAATATTAAACCGAATTATTTGACCAAAAAACTGARTGCTGGTCTGCTTTTATAAACCGCACAATTTTATACAAATAACACTTTACGAGAAAAATAACCTCTTATTCGGTACTTTTTTTTTTACCTGCCTTTTCAAAGCTTATTTTTCCTGTCCTATTTAAAAAAAAACTTGTAGAACATTAACTTGTGATCCTCGGAGAATTCATTACTGCACCTTGCCACCATTATTGTGCAATGTACATAACGAGAAAAATGTACATTTCATCACGAAAGTTTATAATGGAGACCCGTTAGCGTTATGAGCAATGATATACGTATATAGTGGACTAGCTTAATATATATTTTAAGAATGAATTTACATTTTTATGACGCATTTAGATATATTATGTCTGCCACGCGATTAAGCTTCTGCGAAAACCGTTACCAAGCACACCGGGGACAAAATCACGACTTAATATGTAATAGAAAATCATTTATCCAACAACTTTATTATTTTAATTTTGGTTTTTTTTTTTCATTACAATTTAATTTKACTGAATTTATATGTATATCGATGATCTTCTTCTTTTTTATTGCTTACAAATTAAAAATCAAAATCACGTTAAATTACTAAACATTAATACTTGAATTGTTTATTATAATTTTTACCTGTTAAAATTAAAATTAATAAATACAAATAAGTAAGTAACGAAGAATGAAGTTTGAAAACCACATAACACATAACGTATTATTACGTTATTTTAACATGTCAACTTATCTAAATATTAAGTTTTCAAGACATTGGTTTTGAAAATATACCTAATAATACAATGATATTGATCATTAGCATAATTATTACATTACATACCATTGGATTCTCTGAAAGTTTTGATTTTATATGCATTTTTATTAAAAATTGTCAGTATTTTTATTTGTATTATKAGTTATCATAATTTTATGTTCTTATTGTAGGAATTTAAYTAGAAATTAACTTTGATAATAATATAATAAAAAAACTTACGAACGTTTTTTGAGTATGATTTATTATATTTAAAATACAAAGTCAAGCATATTTTTCTACGCATAGCTTGATATATAGGTACAACGCACATCGCTTATAAAACTCASTGATGTAAAGTTAAGTCGCTTATTAAACTCAAAATCGTGTGAAATATTCCGGACGTATCAGTATGAAAAATTCGGTTAWAAGTCTCACCACTTCGTTTATAAGGCTAAAATTTCGTAAAAAAAAAAAAAAATGGTAAAGATAAACATTTTTGGTTAGAAATTAGAAAATAAATTGGTATAAAAAATTTTATCGCATTTCAAATTTTTCGAAACTATCGTAATGTTAGTGTGAGTGATAAATATACTTCCGATTATCTATCACAGTTAGTGTAATCGATATGGTCGACCATATAAGGAGAGCTGTTCATTACCAAGGTAATAATTTTAATATACAWTATGAATACGAGCAATATATTTCCGGAGTATTACTTTATAACTCAAAACCAACCAAAATTACAAATTTTTTTCATAAATAATTAATACATTMTACATCTTTTATAATTTTTATAATATGTATTATWATTTAATTTTTTTAAATTTATTCAATAATAAGTATGTAGTATGTGATATGTATTAAAGTATTAAAATTAAAGCAAATTATGTAGCAAAATAAAATTCATAAATATGTCATTAATTATTAATTTTTTTTCCTCCGATTCACCTATAAGATTCATTCGGTTATAAGTCTCACTTTGTACTGGTCCCAAAATGAGTATWATAAGTGGCGTTTACTGTACTATAAAGCTTATTGCGCTTTTTTTTAAATTGAATTATAAAAACTTAATGTAGTCAATGCTTATATCTACAATTATATGATCTACTTCCCACAATATTTTAATATACGTTACGTATTATGTATGCATTATAATAATATGGTATATTTAATTCACCTATTAAGTGAAGTATTATTATTGCACTGTTTAACATTTTAATCACAGTTATTAACGAATATTTATGGGGYGATGATGATATTATTATCTGTCTCATTTTAAAGCTAAAGTAAAATTTCCTACTCTAKTCCAGTACTAAATTGTTTGAAAGAAATCTAAAAATGCATTTCTCGCTCCGCTCAGAAWCTAAAAAAATAATCGGCTTAGAGCTGATTTAGAAATGACTTTCAACGATGTTTGTCATGCATAAATATATATATATATATTAAAATGTTAAAATATTACTATTGTTAGGTAGAAAAACGTGAAAAAAAAGAAATCTATCTCTATCTTAAAATAATATTAATGATATCGATTGCTGACTTGCAGTATTAATAGTTAATACCGAAATAATGATAATGTTTAAGCGTAATTTTAACAAAATTATTATTATAATTACTATCATTATTATCGTCATACTTGACTTAAATACCTACTTAAGCTTTAATATTTAAAACAAAACCACTTAGCTTTTGGCATTTTTACTCACTAGATATTTTTTTGGTTTTTTCAGATTTACACGAACACGAGGGAAGCCAAGTATCATGTCTTTGAAGTGTCGACCCAGTAAGTTGGAGGATGAGCATGCCACCAGCTCTCTACGTATGTCTCAATAATGACATTTTTTTCTTGGTGTTTTCCACAGAAATAGCGTACCACTCATTGCCACCTCCAAAAAATCGGACGATGGCGAGCAAGTTTTTATACAAAAAGCGCAATGGTCGCCGACGGGTAGCGGTCTGGTGTTTGTTCACAAAAACGATTTGTATTACAAGATCCATGGAAACCGACACAGCAGGGTGGTCAGGATCACGGACACGGGTTCATCGACCATCTTCAACGGCATACCAGATTGGCTGTATCAGGGTAAGTGGTCGATTGGTGATAGTATGTCTTTACTATATTACAATCGTTATAATATCGTTATCATCGTGTYACGCAAACTTGTAATGACTACCCGAGTGGTGGCTCGTGAGGTTCCAAAAATATGGGGCTCAACTATTATATCACCTTCCAGTAATTTCATCGTTCTTAAAATTACTTTTATATTTAATCATTGATGATAACTTTAAAAGAAAAATATTAAATTTAAAATTCTTATTGGTATCATATAAAAATATTGATTCATCTCTTAAAACTTTTCGTCTGTTTTATTTTCGATGATTGTAAGTTATACCAATTATAATAATCATTAGGTATGAGTTTATTTCTTATTTTTATTCAAAATGTTWGATAGGGCATATACTTGTGTATCACTTGAGTGAGCCACCACTGTCCATCTATCATAAGTATATAGGTAAGTTAGATGACTAAAGCGCTCAAAAAAGCGATATTATATGTTGTTAAGCAGAATATTATAATTCAAAGATTTTTACTGCAGTCTTAATGTAAATTTATCAATTTTTAATACTATTACAAGCGCCATTTGTTTAAATCATTTATAAATCAAACGCGTTAATATTAAAAGAAAAGTTCACTTYACGACTAGTAATGTATTATAATGTARRTAGTACTATATTATTTATCAAATGTTTAATTATAAACGAAAAATTGTCAGTTAGAAATATAAAATCAGAATAAACAATAGCAATATGTTTATAAATATAATTACATTTACTATAACAAATTTTCACGTCACGGCCTTTTTTACATTTCAGAAGAAGTTTTCAAATCCGATAAGGCGTTTTGGTTTTCGCCATCCGGACGGTATTTAGCGTACGCGACGTTTAACGATTCATTGGTTGGCGAGTACAAATATCCAGTATATAACACAAGATTCCAATATCCGTATTATCGGTCRTTACGATACCCCAAGGTAAGTACTTCAATGTATTATTGTTTTAACAAAAGTTTCTGTTTACATTTTTATATATTATATTATATTTCTTGGATAAATTTTCATAAATTTTATTGCAGAGTGTTCGATTCACTGTTAGATAAATTAATTGTATATATTAGTATAAATTACAAAATTAGACAACAATTATTATATTTGGAATTTAATTTATCATTTTTAGGAAATAATCACATTTTCACTTATATAAAATAATATATATTATGTTATTTTTATAAAATTCAAATATTTTTACTTTTGTTCTAATTTGGATATATTATTATTATTATTATTATTATTATTTGTGACGAGAAATTATTTAAAAACATTTATTAAATTTAAAAGAGAAAAATAAGATACTATACACAGTTAAATTAAAATTATTAATAAAAACTATGAATATTTTAGGATGAAATATTTTTTAACTTCTATGGTTATATTAAAGTATAATATGAATTTTTATAAATTTAATTGGTCTAATTTTCAAACAATATAATGCAAAACATTATTAATTTCTATTGACCCTCTCATTTATATATATTTTTACTTTTACTAGGTTCATTTTAAATGTTTTAAATTTAAGCATACAYTTTATTGTTTATTTCAGGCAGGAACTCCAAATCCAGCGGTGACTATGTGGTTAAGAGACTTGAAAAATGATAGTTTATTTAACGTTACGCTATTGCAAAAACCACAAGCTTTATACATGGAAAGGTGAGATAATTTTTTTCAAAGATAGAAGGAATGTTAATAAAAGAAAAAAAACGACTTTAGTTAAGTTTACTCTAGTTAAGATTTAGAGATGTCGTTAATAATATTTATATATCAGATAACTTTAGTAAATGTTTAGGTTAATGTGGAGAAAAATATTAACCTAACTTGGACAAAAATATTKCAATTAATTTTTTGAACTACCACCTGAATCAAACATAATTTCATACATAATATATGTATACAATATCTGATCGCATGGCAGTGCGCCAGGCCAAGTTCCAGCAAAATGCCAGTGTATCTTTACACGAACCAATTCACCCAGTTTTTCTAACATATATATCTCTGTTTCTTCTTAAGATAAACTTTTGAAATTTAAAACACAGATTAATCTCGAGTAGTTTAGGACGCTGTAGCCATTTCAAAATGGGAGGATTTTAAAATTTGCAAAATTGTTACTGACTGACTCACTCACTCACTGATCATCAAAATTATAAGACACTTCCCGTATAGATAGTAACGTGAAATTTGACACAAAGGTAGGTCTTACAGTGTAACTAAAGGGAAAAATCTAAAAATTGAATTTTTTCAAAATGAATGCCTCTCCAGAGTGTGTATTTCTAAACGTATGAAGTGGCGCAGTGGCTAAGTGGCTTAGCTCGCATAAACGTTTACTTTCAAACAGCGTTACAATATGGTAATAAGAAATTGTTTGTAGTTGACTTATTTATATATATTTATAAAACATAATCATGTTTTCGTACATTTTTTTATTCAAATACAAAATATAATATACTCATAGAAATACAGAATATTTTAATAATATTCGTCGGTTTGCGAACGATAATTTTACGTGATAATGTCACAAAAAGCATTGATGACAAATTGCATAATGCATACTCTTACGACGCTGAAGCCCGCAAAAATAAATGATATCCCCAACAAAAACATAACAGTGAAAAAAGTCCAAGTTCCAAACCCCCTACCAAAAAATTCGGCTTATCACAGTAGTGAAATCTACATTGTGGTCAAGACTGCTATTTTTTAATTCATAACCTCACTGCAATCCTACATTAAAGAGCAACACTCCTCTTTTATTTTTATTGTTCAACACTTGGCCAGTTTCTGAATAAGGCATGAAACATCATTATCGAATGTACTCTCTTATGACTTACGTGGGTGRTGGGAAGAAGGGAACTCAGAAAAAAAGGAAAACGTTAGATTTCTTCTCAAAAAAAGACAGTGAATCATAGTTAGTAGTGGTATTTACATTGCGGCCAAGTCTAGTTTAWGCCTCATTCAGAAACTGGCCAAGTGTTAAACAATAAAAATAAAAGAGGAGTGTTGCTCTTTAATATAGGAGTGCAGTGAGAGGTTATGAATTAAAAAAATAGCAGACTTGGCCACAATGTAGATTTCACTACTTTGATAGGCCAACGTTTTTGGTAGGGAGTTTGGAACTTGGCATTTTTTTACGATTATGTTTTTGTTGGGGATACATATACATATTACATATTCTTTCTGCATATGACTATCGATTKTACTAGTTTYGAACAATTTTATTACACGTTTGTATCAACTAAATTTTAAAATAAAGTAAAATTTATTTGTTGATTTGTGAATTTCTAAGCTATTTTAATCACTTATTAAACAAACAATATAATATATAAATTAATAACGTTAAAATACAGTGGTAGTTTATAATTTATAATATATATTTAAACATGAATTTAACGTATTGTTTTATTTTTTAAATTAATCAGAAAAGTCTAAGTTATTACCGTTGATCCGTTGATATAAGTTGTAAGCTTACAAAATAAAAATAACTTTTCATAACTTAATGCCAAGTAGTTAAATGAAAATAAGTTAAATWTATTAATATGTTGTTGGTAGCTATTATTTTCATAGACTCCGATTTTATCTCATTTTGATTTTTTTAATTTGGTAGTGAACCCTATTTAATGCATGTCAAGTGGGCAAACGAAAAACGTATTGGAGTAGTTTGGATGAATAGAAAACAGACAACAATGGTCATATCTGTATGCTCCGAACCAAACTGGGAGTGTCAAGATGTGAGTATGAAACTATAAARTGAATATTTAATTATAATATAATAAACCTCACACTGTCTAATCCAAATATTATGTTCAATACCACGTAATAATTGGTATATTATAATATAATATTAGATAATACATTGTGACAACGATCTTAAATGAATCAGYTATAATATTACGTGACATTGGTTTAAATAACATACCAGTCATACCATTTTTGGATGGATAAGTAATTTTATTATATTTTGATAAATCCAATTATCGTTTATATTTGTCTATATCTATATAGATGATATCAATAAAAATAAGTGTATTTTCAAACAATTAAGCCTTCAAGATTTCGTGTCTTAAATAATTTAATATTGCAGAGTAGTCGTTTTAAAAATCATTGGTATTCAAACGGAAAATTTAATATAAATAAAACATATTTTTAACACAACTTAGTATACTTATCTATAATAAAGTAACTTATACTATTTCAGTCTTATGTGGAGAAAATTGCTGATGGAAAGGGGTGGTTGGAAAACACCGAAGTCGAATTCAACGAGGAGGGAACTAGCTACTTGGCAATATTACCAGTACTTGATGGTCCACGTGGTACCTACCCACACATCTGCCTGGTGGATATATCTACAAAAATTGTACTCCCACTGACGAGTGGAAGTTTTTGCGTCGTTCGAATCGTCAAGTGGGACCAGACGAACCAGCTAATGTAAATAATAACAATGACTAGTGCACGTCAAACAGTCTGACCATAATTTAGTGCAAAATTAATTTTATTCGTAGTAATTTAATAAATAAATRGAGAAAAACGTATGTAACGGTTACATTATAATACAACCTACGATAATCCAAAATGATTTAATATACGATTTAGTAATTATTATAAAACGCTAATTTAGTAGGGGTTAGTGTTTTTTTTTTTTTTTTAATAACATCTTTGTGTTCAACCAACAGTTAATGATATATGAAAATAGTAAATAATTTGTTTTTAGTAATGAAAAAAAAAACATAATATTATAGTCTCACTATTTGAGATCCTGAACGAAGTGATGAATGTATTGATTTTACAATTATGTGATTTTTTTTCTGTCTCTGTACAGCATAACTACTCGAAATAATGCTTCAATTTCAAACTTTGGGAGTGGTTTCCGATGGAAAAGTGAATATCCTTGGTGCATTATAGAGGTCAAAAGTAAATATTTTCCAAAAGTTTTCAAAAAAATCGAGAAAAACAAACAAAAAAAAGACAGAAAAACGGGAATTTTTTCGCAAAACCAGTTTTCGACCAATTCGATTTTTTATATGGTTGTAATTCAAAAACTAATCACTGTAAATACTTGAAATTTTCACCAAATGTTTATGTTAGTGTTATCTATATACAGTTTAATTTTCAAAAATTTTTGAGATATTTATAGACCACTAAAATTTTCGATTTGTATAAGAATTTTTCTTTGAAGTGTCGGTAAAAAAATTTTAGATGAACAAAAAAACTTGAAAATTTAATTMAAAGTTCCTCGTGAGTTGTTCTTATTGTAGCTAAAAAAAAGATTTACATGCTACAAGATTACATCTGAAGTTCAAATGTTGAAAATGCGTCCTAATTGAAAAATAAAATATTTGTTTCATAATAGAATACATGACAATATTTAAATATAATATAACTAGACTGATAAATCATCTCCGTTCAGAATCGTTTTTCGTATACAATGATACCTATCATTGCATTCAAATCTAACCTATCGGCTACACACGAATTGCGTCCCGAAATAAAAAATTTGATAAGAGGGTACACGAATTGTGTCCGGCATTATTTAATCTACTGCATATGAATTGCGTCCGGTTTTGTTTAARCGATTGCATGAACGATAAACGTACTGTAAAGCCTATAATAATTTTAGTTCGATTTCGATCGTGTTGTTGGTGTAAACGTTTGTGTAACCTTTATTATCTGTTAAATAAAACTTAAACTCTAAAAACACTATAAAATKACTTYGGTGATTTTAAGCGAAAAAAATAAAACATTATTTAATATTGATGGATACAAATTTCGGTATCATAAAATATTAAAAAATGATGTTCAACGTTGGAGCTGCTGTAAAAAGACGTGTAAGTCATACATTAAATTAAATAATGAAAATGAGATTATCGAACGTGCAAATGATCATAATAATATTAAAGATTCTGTTGAAGTATTTAATAGACAACAGTTAAGTAATAATTT